TGAAGCCCATTTCTGGAGTCCCCCGCCGTGATATTGATGGAATATTGCTAAAAGCGGCGTAAAACCATACTCACTCTCTCGATTACTTAGTATCTGTGTCAATAACAGTAGAACTGAAGATAGATGTGTCTTAGTATCTGTACCATTCACAGTAGGATTGAAGATATATGTCTTAGTGTCTGTACCATTCACAGTAGGACTGAAGATATATGTCTTAGTATCTGTACCATTCACAGTAGGACTGAAGATAGGTGTGTCTTAGTATCTGTACCCTTCACAATAGGACTGAAGATATATGTCTTAGTATCTGTGCCATTTACAGTAGGACTGAAGATAGATGTGTCTTAGTAGCTGTACCATTCACAGTAGGACCGAAGATATATGTCTTAGTATCTGTACCATTCACAGTAGGACTGAAGATAGATGTGTCTTAGTAGCTGTACCATTCACAGTAGGACTGAAGATATATGTCTTAGTATCTGTACCATTCACAGTAGGACTGAAGATATATGTCATAGTATCTGTACCATTCACAGTAGGACTGAAGATAGATGTGTCTTAGTAGCTGTTCCATTCACAGTTGGACTGAAGATATATGTCTAAGTAGCTGTACTATTCACAGAAGGACTGAAGATAGATGTGTCTTAGTAGCTGTACCATTCACACTGGGACTGAAGGTGTATGTGTCTTAGTTTCTCTTCCATTCACAGTAGGACTGAAGATAGATGTGTCTTAGTATCTGTGTCATTCACAATAGGACTGAAGATATATGTCTTAGTAGCTGTGTCATTCACAAGACTGAAGGTATATGTGTCTTAGCATAAGTACCATTCACAGGAGTGAAGGTACAGATGTCTTAGTATCTTTTCTAGTCTCAGTGGGGATGAAGGTATACGCGTCTGGCGATGTAATGGTGATGTAATCCTTCATACCTTAGTTCATGTTCCATTCCCAGTAGTGCTGCAGGTATAAGTATCTTAGGCCTTATCCTAGCTTTACGTGTTGAGAATGAACAACACTGCGTATGCTTATCCATATCCTAGCTTTACGTGTTGAGAATGAACAACACTGCGTATGCTTATCCATATCCTAGCTTTACATGTTGAGAATGAACAACACTGTGTATGCTTATCCATATCCTAGCTTTACATGTTGAGAATGAACAACACTATGTATGCTTATCCATATCCTAGCTTTACGTATTGAGAATGAACAACACTGTGTATGCTTATCCATATCCTAGCTTTACGTGTTGAGAATGAACAACACTGTGTATGCTTATCCATATCCTAGCTTTACGTGTTGAGAATGAACAACACTGTGTATGCTTATCCATATCCTAGCTTTACATGTTGAGAATGAACAACACTATATATGCTTATCCATATCCTAGCTTTACATGTTGAGAATGAACAACACTGTGTATGCTTATCCATATCCTAGCTTTACGTGTTGAGAATGAACAACACTGTGTATGCTTATCCATATCCTAGCTTTACGTGTTGAGAATGAACAACACTGTGTATGCTTATCCATATCCTAGCTTTACGTGTTGAGAATGAACAACACTGTGTATGCTTATCCATATCCTAGCTTTACGTGTTGAGAATGAACAACACTGTGTATGCTTATCCATATCCTAGCTTTACGTGTTGAGAATGAACAACACTGTGTATGCTTATCCATATCCTAGCTTTACGTGTTGAGAATGAACAACACTGTGTATGCTTATCCATATCCTAGCTTTACATGTTGAGAATGAACAACACTGTGTATGCTTATCCATATCCTAGCTTTACATGTTGAGAATGAACAACACTATGTATGCTTATCCATATCCTAGCTTTACGTGTTGAGAATGAACAACACTGTGTATGCTTATCCATATCCTAGCTTTACATGTTGAGAATGAACAACACTGTGTATGCTTATCCATATCCTAGCTTTACATGTTGAGAATGAACAACACTGTGTATGCTTATCCATATCCTAGCTTTACGTGTTGAGAATGAACAACACTGTGTATGCTTATCCATATCCTAGCTTTACGTGTTGAGAATGAACAACACTGTGTATGCTTATCCATATCCTAGCTTTACGTGTTGAGAATGAACAACACTATGTATGCTTATCCATATCCTAGCTTTACGTGTTGAGAATGAACAACACTATGTATGCTTATCCATATCCTAGCTTTACGTGTTGAGAATGAACAACACTGTGTATGCTTATCCATATCCTAGCTTTACGTGTTGAGAATGAACAACACTGTGTATGCTTATCCATATCCCAGCTTTACATGTTGAGAATGAACAACACTGTGTATGCTTATCCATATCCTAGCGTTACGTGTTGAGAATGAACAACACTGTGTATGCTTATCCATATCCTAGCTTTACGTGTTGAGAATGAACAACACTGTGTATGCTTATCCATATCCTAGCTTTACGTGTTGAGAATGAACAACACTATGTATGCTTATCCATATCCTAGCTTTACGTGTTGAGAATGAACAACACTGCGTATGCTTATCCATATCCTAGCTTTACGTGTTGAGAATGAACAACACTGCGTATGCTTATCCATATCCTAGCTTTACGTGTTGAGAATGAACAACACTGTGTATGCTTATCCATATCCTAGCTTTACGTGTTGAGAATGAACAACACTGCGTATGCTTATCCATATCCTAGCTTTACGTGTTGAGAATGAACAACACTGCGTATGCTTATCCATATCCCAGCTTTACGTGTTGAGAATGAACAACACTGTGTATGCTTATCCATATCCTAGCGTTACGTGTTGAGAATGAACAACACTATGTATGCCTATCCATATCCTAGCTTTACATGTTGAGAATGAACAACACTGTGTATGCTTATCCATATCCTAGCTTTACGTGTTGAGAATGAACAACACTATGTATGCTTATCCATATCCTAGCTTTACGTGTTGAGAATGAACAACACTGTGTATGCTTATCCATATCCTAGCTTTACGTGTTGGGAATGAACAACACTGTGTATGCTTATCCATATCCTAGCTTTACGTGTTGAGAATGAACAACACTGTGTATGCTTATCCATATCCTAGCTTTACGTGTTGAGAATGAACAACACTGTGTATGCTTATCCATATCCTAGCGTTACGTGTTGAGAATGAACAACACTGTGTATGCTTATCCATATCCTAGCTTTACGTGTTGAGAATGAACAACACTGCGTATGCTTATCCATATCCTAGCTTTACGTGTTGAGAATGAACAACACTGCGTATGCTTATCCATATCCCAGCTTTACGTGTTGAGAATGAACAACACTGTGTATGCTTATCCATATCCTAGCGTTACGTGTTGAGAATGAACAACACTGTGTATGCCTATCCATATCCTAGCTTTACATGTTGAGAATGAACAACACTGTGTATGCTTATCCATATCCTAGCTTTACGTGTTGAGAATGAACAACACTATGTATGCTTATCCATATCCTAGCTTTACGTGTTGAGAATGAACAACACTGTGTATGCTTATCCATATCCTAGCTTTACGTGTTGGGAATGAACAACACTGTGTATGCTTATCCATATCCTAGCTTTACGTGTTGAGAATGAACAACACTGTGTATGCTTATCCATATCCTAGCTTTACGTGTTGAGAATGAACAACACTGTGTATGCTTATCCATATCCTAGCGTTACGTGTTGAGAATGAACAACACTGTGTATGCCTATCCATATCCTAGCTTTACATGTTGAGAATGAACAACACTGTGTATGCTTATCCATATCCTAGCTTTACGTGTTGAGAATGAACAACACTATGTATGCTTATCCATATCCTAGCTTTACGTGTTGAGAATGAACAACACTGTGTATGCTTATCCATATCCTAGCTTTACGTGTTGGGAATGAACAACACTGTGTATGCTTATCCATATCCTAGCTTTACGTGTTGAGAATGAACAACACTGTGTATGCTTATCCATATCCTAGCTTTACGTGTTGGGAATGAACAACACTGCGTATGCTTATCCATATCCTAGCTTTACGTGTTGAGAATGAACAAAACTGTGTATGCTTATCCATATCCTAGCTTTACGTGTTGAGAATGAACAACACTGTGTATGCTTATCCATATCCTAGCTTTACGTGTTGAGAATGAACAACACTATGTATGCTTATCCATATCCTAGCTTTACGTGTTGAGAATGAACAACACTGTGTATGCTTATCCATATCCTAGCTTTACGTGTTGGGAATGAACAACACTGTGTATGCTTATCCATATCCTAGCTTTACGTGTTGAGAATGAACAACACTGTGTATGCTTATCCATATCCTAGCTTTACGTGTTGCGAATGAACAACACTGTGTATGCTTATCCATATCCTAGCTTTACGTGTTGAGAATGAACAACACTGTGTATGCTTATCCATATCCTAGCTTTACGTGTTGAGAATGAACAACACTGTGTATGCTTATCCATATCCTAGCTTTACGTGTTGAGAATGAACAACACTATGTATGCTTATCCATATCCTAGCTTTACGTGTTGAGAATGAACAACACTGTGTATGCTTATCCATATCCTAGCTTTACGTGTTGAGAATGAACAACACTGTGTATGCTTATCCATATCCTAGCTTTACGTGTTGGGAATGAACAACACTGTGTATGCTTATCCATATCCTAGCTTTACGTGTTGAGAATGAACAACACTATGTATGCTTATCCATATCCTAGCTTTACGTGTTGAGAATGAACAACACTGTGTATGCTTATCCATATCCTAGCTTTACGTGTTGAGAATGAACAACGCTGTGTATGCTTATCCATATCCTAGCTTTACGTGTTGAGAATGAACAACACTGTGTATGCTTATCCATATCCTAGCTTTACGTGTTGCGAATGAACAACACTGTGTATGCTTATCCATATAGTTGCTCCTTCACAACAGAATCAACGATCTGATATAAATGAACACACGAAAACAGACAAAATAGGAATAGAAACAATTATATTTAAAAAACAAACATATAACAACATAAACACGCCGTTAACACCGTTCATATTCAATCTACGTGACAACACGCTCAGCGATCATAACATACATTCATAAATAGATAAAAACAATTGTCGATCTCATGTCTCTCATTCATAGTCATTTGAAGCCCATTCTTCTTCCTGTTCCTCTTCCAAGTTCTAACACCGTCGCCACAACCATGGAGTCATTCATGTCACGTTCAGCACGCACCACGCGGTTCTTCAAACACACTGATTCCCTCAGTCTCGTTCTCAGCTGCCTGGGTGGGGCGAGGGGTGGGGCGAGGGGTGGGGGGTCGGGTAATGGCGACATTCCACCCTCGTCCCCGTCTCCGAGCTCAGCAGCAGGGTCGGCACTTACAGTGTAGGGAGTATTACCCAGAGATTCCGACGAATGTTTGAAAGGTTAGAAAAATACGATTTTTAAATGGAAATATGATGATGGTGAAAAAAGTTGGCAAGTTTTACACAGATCAAGTATGTACTATTAAGGTTTTGGTTACAGCTGACACAGACTTTACAAAAAACACATCAACATTGGAGCCACGGTCTTGCATAAGTCAACTGCAGGGCTTTGTCTTGCATTGTAAGGCACCACTTATACGTGAAGATCAGCCTTCACAGTTGTATCATGTCAGTAATATTTAAGAGCTGAATCAAAAATGGGTATAATACATTAACCATTCCTAATTAACACAATGGGTTACACAAATCTTGTAGGTCTAAGAATCCATACATCATATTTCCGTATGGGATTATTTCGCAATAAATGCAACCAGGAGTACATTGCCTAATGACGTCCATCCTTTGTATTTTCTGCACTACGCCTACACTTGACTTTAGTTATAGTACTCTATACCTTAACCGAATATATCTACAGGCCACGCTCTTACTCCAGTATTCTTCTGGGTTTACCTTTAATCCACTGGCACTCGAAATCAAGTTGTTCCACACACCGGATCTTTAATCAAGTACGCCTGCACGTGGTACCTAAATTCCAGTATTAATTCAGTACTCCCATGTTTTTAATCCAATGTCCCTACGTTTCATACAGTATTCCAATTCCCAGTGTCTTTTATTTTGTATTTCTACACCTTAATATGCCCATAATCCAATATATTTTTACCTCATATATCCGTACATTTTATCCAGTGTCCCTATCTTTAATCCTGTACTTCTACACTTTATGTCTTCAATCCAGCATCCATACTCCTTCAGTGAAGTTTGCGGATTTCCCTACGCACACAACCTTAAAACTAGACACATACATGACAGAGATGCTATTGTCGTGGATGTCGATGTAATAATGCCCCTCAGACTACTTGGTATATTCTAAACACATACTGCTATACTACTGTATACTGGCTTATCAAATACACAGTGGGTGCATATTATAAGATCAATACAATACGACTCCACTTTCCTTGTGAAAATCACCATGTTAGTTCATGATAGTGCCTCTTGTGGCAACCATTGTGGAGCAGCCTATGCCCCAGTTGTCACAGAAGAGACACCTCCCTATCAAATTCCTTTCTTCGGAAGTACCAATCTTCTCTCGTCCATGTTACCATCGTAGATACGAGTAGATCGTAGACGCAGTTTCTGACGTCACAGACGAGCTGCCAGTTGAGCCATAGTTCATACCGCAATATATCGTAAGATCGGGCATTGTCTAAAAACAGTCACAACCTTGACCTTCAGGATCTTAGGAGTCGGAGATCTTCCTGATCTTAGGGCAGACGACACTGTGGATGTTGATGACCTCTTCCAGGTGTTCCCTTTCGTCCCGCAGGCGCTGAATCTCATCCTTCAGATGATCCTGTTTGTTCTCCAGGCGGCTGATGTCCTGTGGACAAATACACCTGACCATTAGCACATCTGACCAGAACATGGGAAGTTATTCATGATCCATACTAGTTATTATAGCTACTTTCAGTTATTTAACAGCTGTGTAGGAAAATGAGGATTGGTATCCCTAGTATACACTATGCCTCTCCTCAGAACCAACCATAATGCTGAAAGGGCACACCATTGTGTCACCGTGATGATTGTGTGAAAATGTACCCCACATCGATAATGTTATCACCCACTAGTTTGTCTGATACGGCCTCAATTATTCATAGATTGTGTAATATAGCTTTTATAATACTAAATACAGCCTAAAACATCTACTCCTTGACCCAATTTCCAAATACTAACTGCAGCCTTAAAAAAACATTACTCCATGGCCCAATTTTCCAATTTGATACTTAATACAGTTTTAAAAAAACATTTCCTCCTCGGCCCAATTTTCCATACAACAGCAATGATTCCATTTCCTCGCATTAGTAAGTAACGTTTGCCATAGTCTATCAACAAAATACCTAAATCTACCTACATGTTCCAGATGCTCTGCACGCTCCCGTTTCTTGGTGCGACACTTCTGCGCAGCCACCCTGTTCTTCTCCTTGCGTTCCATGTGTAACTGGAGGTCTTCCCCTGTCAGCTGAAACAAAATGGCGGCATTGTGGAAACAGTCTACTTGCTGGAAACATCTGTGGGCGTCTGCGATTAAAGCTGATGGAAGCGGTTTGTGAGATGAAGAGTTGGACAGAGCACGTTTGAAACGTCAGCAAAGATGAGTTGACATCTTCCTCGCAGACAAAAGGAAATGGTCAAGGCGTGAGGAACATTTGGAGGTAATTTGCACTGCATCGTTAAGGCCACAACATGATTATTACATGTTTGTCATAAGTACAAATCTGTTTTGGAAATATCTAATTATGATAGTTGATTTACTGATCACTTAATTAATTCTTACGTCTCCCTACCTAAATTACCAAAATACGATGACACTTGATGTCCGGGTGCTTGTTCCATACAACATAGGACCACAAGGGAGGAATAGTGAGTTTTATTCACATTTCTATGAAAGTATTGCCATACAAAAAACAACAACAACAACAAAAATTAAAAAAACCATTATTGCCTAATCTGCTGCCTATTTCTCTGAACCTGTGTTATTTACGGAACAGATATTATTCCTGGGACGTAATATTGTAGGGTCATGTATTATTTGAAACGTACCGGTTCTTTGGGAGAGATGGATCGACTGAGGTCCACACTGATCTCCTCTTGGCCAGATGCCAGTCGTTTTGCATGAATACGTGACTTCAGTGACCCCTTGACAACATCAGTCATTGACGCTTCCAGGAAACAGTCATCAGACAGGAAGTCCAGAGAGTTGTCTCCCCCTACTGTTGAGCTGGCGGTGGATGTTGAGTTCGGGTTCCACAAAGGGTCTGACTGTGAATCCTCCTCACTGTATAAGCTCTGTAACGTCTCTTCATAGCTGGGATCGATGGTCACTTCACCGGTGTCCACTCTCAGGTCGTCGTTGCTGAAGCCGATGATAGAGTCGACGGTGTCCTGGGAGGTTGAGGGAATGGGAGAATCAGCTCGCCAATCGTCGTTCATCATGGATGTGAGCAGCTCAAACGCCAATGTTTCCCTCATAACTGTTGACAGAAAAACTAGACAGTAATGCCCGAAATCTCGATTGAATGTTTGATACCTAGCCGCGCAGGGCGGTCAGGAGCCTAATAATGAGGAAGCATACGCTCGTTATACCCAAGACCCAGGTTCGGCTCCCAACTAGGAAAAAGCCCCGTACTCGTGACCTCAGCCGTGAAATCACTGTATTATTCTGAAAGCAGCGAAAAACAATACTCACACTAACCCATTGGTTCTATATTTAAAAGAAAAATATAATAAAAATTGGTCAAGAGGCATGGTGGGTTAAGAACGGTTTTTTTCAACAGGACCCTAGGGTCAGATTCCCACCCCTCCCATGTTGTCCCGACATCTGAGTGAGTGAGTGAGTATGGTTTTACGCCGCTTGTAGCAATATTCCAGCAATATCACGGCGGGGGACACCAGAAATGGGCTTCACACATTGTACCCATGTAGGGAATCGATCCAGGCTCTTCGGCGAGACGAGCGAACGCTTAAACCACTAGGCTACCCGACCGCCCAACATCTGAGAGAAGGAGTAAGAACAACTATTTTGACAAAATAGTAATCGTAAAAAATACAATTGACTTTGAATGAGTTCATGAACCATGATATTTAAGACTTAACAAAAAAAACAAAAAAACATCTCTGTCGAAAAAAACTCCAAAGGGTACAACATTACAAGTGGAACACAGTCGATAATATCGCAGCGTTAACCAACAATGAATGAAAGTATTGATGTGTGTGTGTGTGTGTGTGTCGGGGGGGGGATTCATTCATGCTGACCCCGACCCCACAGCACGTGACGGTGGTCTGACAAGTGCCCCTCCTGAGCATACGCGGTCCAGTAACTGGGAGTGGGATTGGTAGGGGTCGCATGCCTTCGTGACAGGGTAGAGGGTTGCGCAATCAAACGTGCTGACGTCGACATACCACGATGTATGAATGAACATGTTTCGTCACCGTATAACATCATATTAAACAATATTTTATTGCAACATCAATAAACGATGAACACCGTGTAGTCAGACTCTACAACTGGGGTACCAATATGTGTCTAACGGCTAACAATTTCATACACTAAGCAATGGTAGTCAAAACAACGGCGATATCATGCTGAGTTGTAGTATTTCGCAATCCAATTTTACTCGCTTTGATAGCATTCAATGTAGATCGAGGACTTATAGCCATGGCGTGGATGCCCTTATCCAAAGCCATTCCATGTCAACTACATTTGAAGCAGATTTAATTAAATTTAAAGGTTATCGAGTAACTTTACTATTTCGTCAGTGGCATTCCTGCTGCAGTTGTGTCAAGCCGCCTACGTTAAATCACGTGCCATGCATAAACAACACTCACCTGTGATCGTCTAGAACATTCGCTTGCGTTAAACGTCTACAATTAGCACAGTAAATCCTGTCCAGTTGCTTTGGGAGGAATAAAGATTGAGAGAAGTTAGTAAAATACAGCTGACATGGACAACAGGACGAGGATATGAGTTCAATCTAAACACCAAACGACGCGGCCTGCGGTTTTATACTCGGGGAACACGTTGCTATTTTCAGTAACAGAGCCATACCCCACGTGACCAAACTGGCGATATGACGTCACAATCTAGGTCATGTATTCGTACCTGAATAATAGTAAATACACCCCAAATTATATGCAAAGAATTTCGTATCTTCTAACCGACGGTCAACTCTTTCGAATCACAACGAAACACGATCTTGATTTATTGAGGGAAATTGAAACTAGCTTTTTCATCGCTGTGGCGGGCATGTTTGTATTTAGCGGCCGGCTTGTCAATGTCATGATGGCCGAAGTGACTCACAGTCATGAATGAATTAGTCATAGCGCAGGTAAAAGGGGGTCGTCCGCTACACCGCTGCAGGGTAATAATAATATTAACTCATGCTTCTTCAATCCCAAATGCTGAAGGAAAGAGTGAGTAATTTTCAAATTCAGATATCCCAATTCCTGGGATAACAACGAGCCACGTGTACTGTGATTCCGTCACTGTTGACAGTCCCGCTCTGGGCAATGTTTAGGGAAATTTAGCATGACACACAGGGATCGGATGACTAATGCACGTTATATTGACGCCCCGTCCCCAACAGTAGATATCCCACAGCATTAGGTGGATACCTTTACTAAAGGCAGGATGGCGAGGTAATATTTTTACATATCACCATCTACTTCCATCCATGATGATTTATAGTTGATTTTGTGTTTGACAATATGCAGTTCGATGTTTCATATTTATTGTCGAATACCACCAGACAAAACCTAAATGTCTGGTTATCGGTCTTGCCCGCATGGCTTTGCTCTGTCGTTTTAAAAGTAGATTTGTGATATTGATTATTTAGTGAACTCGGATTAGGATTAACCGTTATTCCTTTATTTCAGGTAGTTTATATATAACGTACACTATCCTTTATCAATTGTGCATGTTGTGTGTGAATTATTATGAAGTCCTACAAAATGTGTTTTTTTCATGTGCGTGTTTAGGTTTGTTGTGATCGTCTTTAAAAACATGGTGTACTGGTATGGTATGTGTACCATATGATCTCTTGTTTATTTCATGGTTGTGATGATCTCTACTGCATGATCTCTTGTTAGTGTTATTGTTGTGACGGTCATGCTAAGCAAGACATGGTATTCTGTTTGTTGATATGTGTATTTCTTTGTATCTATAGTAACCTGATTGTTTGTAAACATAGACATCGGTGTAATAGGCACGTGAAGCACATTCTGATAATCAATGTTACCATGACTACTAAGCTCTTGGAATCAGGTCGGAATGAAAGCTGATGATGAGACACTGTACACAGTGTTCAAGGATGACGGCATTCCACGTGTAATTTGTAATACGTTATAAATAACTATGAACATTTGCTGACTCACATCCTATCTTCGCGCATGCTCAGTGTCCCGCGGCTCTTGACAGGGGATTCCCCTTGTGCCAGTTACCTGATCACGTGATAAGACACCGCCCGAACCGGCTTTTGTTCAGTGCAGCTTGTTATGCATATAACGCTGTCGGCTTTCGAAGCAAATTTAATATGTGTAGTATATTACTACATGGTAATATAATTGATAAGTACAGCGCTGGCCGATATTTTGAACGGTGTCCACATATCATATGGCATAGTACATAATCTCACCATCAACACACATACTGCGCATTCAAGGAAAGCTCTGACAAAAGGATTATGACGAAATATGTCTTTCATTTTGCGTGTACCATGCAGTAAATAGTGTTTATTATCAATTGATGTTTTAAAGGAAAGTGTCAGTTTGATAGTAGAAGGCAGAATGAAGGTAGAGGAAATATGAAAAATTGATTTTCGTGATAAAAGAGAATTTTCGTTATTTCCGTTTCCGTGAGCTAGATGTTAGTTTTCTATGTTGTGTCATCAGAACATACACGAGACTCTTGTTTCTCATAATTCATTGTAGGTAGAGGGGGTAGATTTATATATTTTTTTTATTTATCATTATCGAACTAAAAAAATAGTTTAACCAATTTTCTCCTTTGCGAACTGTTGCCTCTTATTTTCATCTATGAAATAAAAACGTATGACCAACACTCGGAAATAGCAGCGGAACGAAATAAATTGTAAAATGTTTTATTTTTCAATGTGTGGAATCGGTCGAATTAAATGGTCTACCTCAAGACAAACATCAATCTCATGTTCGGCTATTTCCGCCAAGCCCGGTTATGCCAGCGCCCTCTGTTGGCAGATTGGACAAATATATATAAAATAACCCGAAAATATTATGCTAATATTTCTTTTCGGGTTGAGCACCGACTGTGTACAACTGTGATGTATTTATGTGTCAGCGATTAACCAAAGCCTTATTAGGACCAGTGTTTTATTGAACTGAGAGCATCATCTTTTTGGTGATATTGCTTTCTTATCGCAACATTTACGATGTCTTCACAAATTCACAAATATCAATCTGTGTACAACTGTGATGTATTTATGTGTCAGCGATTAACCAAAGCCTTGTTAGGACCAGTGTTTTATTGAACTGAGAGCATCATCTTTTTGGTGATATTGCTTTCTTATCTCAACATTTACGATGTCTTCACAAATTCACAAATATCAATCTGTGTACAACTGTGATGTATTTATGTGTCAGCGATTAACCAAAGCCTTGTTAGGACCAGTGTTTTATTGAACTGAGAGCATCATCTTTTTGGTGATATTTCTTTCTTATCGCAACATTGACGATGTCTTCTCTTGTGTTTGAGCTGCGGAAGGCCATACAGGTTTGTTCTCGGACGTTGTGTGAGCTTTCATGTTTCTGCATGTCGTGTGCTTGCTCTGTGGTGGGGTCATAGCAATGCATTTCGTTCTTTCTCGTGGGGTGGCAGTGTTGTGTCTGTGTTTAATACACTTTATCATATGCACGATGGATACATTTATAAATATGCTTGTGGTTGCACAAAGAGGTAATTATATTACATCATCGTCAGTGTTCCTCGTCTGTGTTGTAATTTAAAATATATGTTATCGATTCTTTCTTGTTAAGAAGAGAGTAAATATCTTAGATTGTACGTACGCTTCGAAGTTGTGATACGTCAGCCCTGCCGATGCACTGTATGTGCTCGACAAGATCTCAAGAGTTACCCCCCTTACAGTTTCTTTGGTTGGAAGTGTTTCAACAAGTGCAACTTTTTGTAGCCTTGGTAATATTAACGTAACAGTTGTTTTATATCTCTCAATGTGTTCTTTTGCAATATGGTAATAATTTTGACGTTACATGGCGTCAATTTGCGATGGTTTATTTGAACTTTAAAACACGTATTTCCATGGGAATTTTACCTGACCTTTGACATCTTAAAGTTGTTCAATACAACTGCAGTTTAAACTTGTCCTTGGTGACATATAAATGTCACATAATATCCCTAATCTTTCTGATCACGACTACATGTAGTATGGAATTCATAAACTGAAAACACAATAATGTCATTGGCTTTTTAATCAACTTTTAATTAAATATAAAATAAAAAAACCCGTTCATTTCAATGCATTTTATAACTTTCATTTACACGTCTACACAATCTTTCCCAGATAACTAGATGCAATTAAGAAGTAAATTTTAAGAATTAGGATACTTCTAACAATTGCGTATATATATATATATATATATATATATATATATATATATATATATATATATATATATATATATATTACCCAGTCCACGACAGCATACTTGACGTGACTTTAAGGTCAATTTTAATTTTTTTACGTTTAATCAAAACAGTCCACCTCCCCAAAATCTACCCCCAACAACTCTACAAATCTACCTCCAACCCCTCGAGCCCCTCTGGTTTTCAGAATTGTGGATCTAATCTGAACTTATAGTTTTGTTAACTGTAGATGCAAGAGTTTAAACGGACGTACCTTGGTGTACACGGGAAGCCATATGTGTTGACTGTGGGAAAGTCCCGTTTTGCAGACTACACATTCATGTTCGTGAAATTATATGTCGATGTGCATGAAATACGTTCTGGCGGTGCATAGCCATATAAGGTTGGGGCATTTAAACTGGGTCATAATCGAGACACGTCTTATCCCATAGTGCGCTATTTACCCAGCTGATATTTCCATAAATGGGTTTGTGATCACAACATCGGGTCTGTCCGTACATACACGCCGTACGGTCTGGTCCACACCGTCCGAACCTCTCCATGGATGCCCTTGTAAGGCAACCAGGATCTGCCTTATTTGGCAGTGCTCCGTCAGGTGGACTATTGATTGTTGCTGTCGGTGACTGGTGTCACGTGATGTACTATGGTATCATTGATAGCTGCAAATGTGTTGTTTATGGGTTGTCTGGTGTTGGAGATGTGGACATGACACTTGTAAGTATTTCTTTTAATGTCAACCTAACTTTTCTATTAATATATTTTCAATTTCAAATATCAATCTCTCATTTCATTTTCGTCACATATTCGTCATATATTTGTCAATAATACTATCAAAAGATCATCGCTCTCTCATTCTCTCTCTCTCTCTCTCTCTCTCTCTCTCTCTCTCTCTCTCTCTCTCTCTCTGGTATACAAACACAACGCACAAATCAATGCATTACTTATGATTTGTTATATTCTTTCATACTTTACAGAACACTTATAGCAATGTATTGCAGAGCTGCGCCTAATATAAGGTTACTATTATATCAATAAGTAAAACAATTCAGCCTTGTATAGACGCTACTGTGAATAAAGTATTCAGAAACCGAGAACAATCACTTATACCGATATTTGCACATCTGCATGTCAGCGAATCTCAAATCTGATTGGTCAGATATGAAGTCACATTGCTTCAATATTCATGACATTACGAGTGAGTGAGTGAGTTTGGTTTTACGCCGCTTTTAGCAATATTCCAGCAATATCACGGAGGGGGACACCAGAAATGGGCTTCACACATTGTACCCATGTCGGGATTCGCACCCAGGTCTTCGGCGTGACGAGCGAACGCTTTAACCACTAGGCAACCCGACCACCCCTCATGACATTACGATATGACGTAAACAAGTGTTCATGAAGTCACAAATTGATAACATCACGATATGACGTTAACAAGTATTCATGAAGTCACAAATTGATAACATTACGATATGACGTTAACAAGTATTCATGAAGTCACAGATTGATAACATTACGATATGACGTTAACAAGTATTCATGTAGTCACAAATTGATAACATTACGATATGACGTTAACAAGTATTCATAAAGTCACAGATTTGATAACATCACGATATGACGCTAACAAGTATTCATGAAGCCACAGATTGATAACATCACGATATGACGCTAACAAGTATTCATGAAGCCACAGATTGATAACATTACGATATGACGTTAACAAGTGTTCATGAAGTCACAGATTGATAACATTACGATATGACGTTAACAAGTGTTAATGAAGTCACAGATTAATAACATTACGATATGACGCTAACAAGTGTTCATGAAATCACAGATTGATAACATTACGATATGACGTTAACAAATGTTCATGAAGTCACAGATTGATAACGTTACGATATGACGTTAACAAGTGTTCATGAAGTCACAGATTGATAACATTACGATATGACCTTAACAAATGTTCATGAAGTCACAGATTGATAACATTACGATATGACGTTAACAAGTGTTCATGAAGTCCCAGATTGATACAATTACGATATGACGTTAACAAGTGTTAATGACGTCGCAGATTGATAACATTACGATATGACGTTAGCAAGTGTTCATGAAGTCACATTTTTGATAACATTACGATATGACGTTAACAAATGTTCATGAAGTCACAGAATGATAACATTACGATATGACGTTGACAAGTGTTCATGAAGTCACAGATTGATAACATTACGATATGACGTTAACAAGTGTTCATGAAGTCCCAGATTGATAACATTACGATATGACGTTGACAAGTGTTCATGAAGTCACAGATTGATAACATTACGATATGACGTGAACAGGTGTTCATGAAGTCATAGATTGATAACATTACGATATGACGTTAACAAGTGTTCATGAAGTCACAGATTGATAACATTACGAAATGACGTTAACAAATGTTCATGATGTCACAGATTTGATAACATCACGATATGACGATAACAAGTGTTCATGAAGTCACAGATTGATAACATTACGAAATGACGTTAACAAATGTTCATGAAGTCACAGATTTGATTACATCACGATATGACGATAACAAGTGTTCATGAAGTCACAGATTGATAACATTGTGTTATCTAAACAATGGGTGCAGCACCACAACAGGGTTGACTTTTCACACGCTTACCTCAGTTTCTAACTCAAAATTTATAACTTAACAAAATCCTTTAATTGTCCTATAAATATTCATATAATATAGTACGAAACATATCACCTTTAGAGATAGAGCTATCTAAGCAATCGGTTTGACCCCGAACTCGTTCCTGTCGCTATGATAATGTTACCGAAACACACGAGGGCTGCTTTCACGACCTCCTAGTTTATTGTTGTGTATTACAGAGACCTCGTATATGGCCGCTGTCTGTTATCACACAGCTTTTTATAGCATTCTGTTTGTCACATTTACTCGTGTATTTGTACAAGACAAAGTATCATTATCCCCCAACCACGCAATCAAGCATGACATTTATTACCGGATGCATGTAGTTGTGAATATACACGCATTGGGTGTCTATTTGACGGGTGTACTGACGCCAGGTGTTCGTCGCGGGCACACTACACACTACACACATATGACAGTGAATACACGTTACCTTGTACATCTCGTGTCGCCAAGGTCGGGTACCGCCAACAGTGAAACTGGGTTGTGTTGGGCGCTCTGGCCCCTTTAGGAATCACGTGACTTGCCAAGGGGACTGCACGTTTGGAAGCTGTTGGGGTGCATATACGTTTAGAACGACGGTCAAGATAAAAAGATTGCGGAAATATTTCGTGTTTGAAAATGTAAATTCTCTTTACAAGTTTAAATATTCCGGTTTCGAGGGAAGTGCTATAGCATACAAGTTCTGCTACATATTAATGGTGGTTTTCTGATACAGGTTTAATAAACCTTATCCCTGCCTCTTTATGTTATTGTGTTCATTAGAATAATACACTTGTGAATTTATGTAAGAGTAGAGGGGAAAAGCACTTAAGAGAATACTGGTTTAGAAAAAAAGTAATATGGCTTGATATTCAGTCAGTCATTTTCAAGACATTAATGGTGTTTTACAATAATAACCAAAACTCGTGTCTAAATGTTTGTCAGCATATATGAGCTCTGGGTAATACTGCCCAGAATTGGTACTATATAGATCTATAGTACTACATGCATTATAAGGAATCGTTATATAATCTGTACCATATAGAATCGGTATAGAATCTGTACCATTCAGAATCGCCAAAATCGGTACAACATAAAATAGGTATAATAAACTAACAACAAAATAATTTTTACCTCTTAGTTTAATTTTATCATAATCATAATTAAATATATATCTTATATTAGCGATGTCGTATGAACTGTGCTGGCGATTAGTCAGAATTCACAGAATACTTCTTCTTGGTATAAATATTATAGAACATAATTTGATTTAAAACATTTAAAAATAAAAAAACAAACTATTCGCATAATACACAACTGCTGATGGGTATCTTAGAAATCTTATCTTTAAAAATAAAAATATTTGCTTTTTTCAGCTCAAACTTACATATAAGACATGGTAGGGGTCATTGTCATAGACATAGTCACATTTAACTTCAGTTCTTTCCTTTTTTATTTACATAAAAAACAACAACTCCGTATCCTTTCTTTTGCCCCTCAGTATAAAATCTGTATTATACAGAGTCGCTATATACATTCTGTACTTTGCCAAATCGCTATACAGTCTGCACAATACAAAATCGATACTATACAGAACCGCTATATAATTGCCGGGACATTGCCGAACCAGACTTGTACTGACTCACTCATTCTGTACAGAAAACACTGTGGGTTGATGAGAGGAAGGAAACATATGGTTATAAAAATAAATACATTTTCGTGATAAACGTAACAGTACTTTTTTTCAAAGTAGTGGACACATTTTATGATGAGAAGCTGCTATAATAATTTGACGACTCGGATTGTTTAAGATTTCATGAATTCATATTTTAATACAATTAAGGCGTGTTTATTTATACACGTGTACTGTTTGTTAAGCGTTGTTTCGTTGTTTATTCCTGTTGATTTATAGTCAAGTACACATTCATACACAACTCCTTAAACGCCAAACACTGACGTATCGAGTTAACGAAGTAATTTTCCGGCTCCGGGAATTCCTTTAAATAATTATCATTATTTAACTTAGAATCTGTCGAATATTATGTGTAAAAGGTCGGTTGTCTCGAACATATTTTGTGTCGAAAATGACAAATGAAAGTAGTGGGTCATGCTTCTACACTTTCAAAAAAAGAAGTTGTCAGAAATCATCTCAAACGAAGTATGACGGATCCGCAGCTGTTGATGTTGGGGATGACGTTTAGAATCTGTTTTCGGATGTGTCCAACACGCGGATAAGTCGAACGTTATCTTAGGAACTTACGGACCACGGAGACCCAACCGAATCAGAGGTAAAATGGATGCATTTTTAACGCTTGACTTATATATCCATTAAGCGTAGGTTCATAAGGGGAGATAACCCTTATTGGGGACAGGATGGCATTCTACAGATTAGAACATTAAGCCTTTTGTATGTACTTGGTAGCCGTATCTGAGTCACTGCTAGGACATTAACCAACATAACGACTATAATTCTTCATATACTTTTACTGGCGCTTCGGACAATACTGTAAGCGATTTTTCCCGCGAACCTGTTGTGGGGTCTTCAGTCTGTTTCCAACATAAACTGCCGACGCGTCTATTTTACCTTATAAGCCCATCTATCAATTATTGTTTCATAATCCATATAATTATTATAAAACACGATAAAATATTTAGTAGAACAGAGACAATATTACTTTAGACCTCACATAAACTCAGAGACCATGTGGCCTCTGATAAACTGTACCCAGGATGCCGGAGTGGGAGAAAGCAAGACACAAGTTACTGCTAGCCGGAACAACAAGCACGGGCATCTTCCATGGGTGGAATCGAACCCGAGAGTTATACGTAACAAGCCAACGCATTAGCTACTGGGCTACCCCAAATCCGAAATAAACAGTCTTGACGTAATAACTATTAACCATAACCCCAGTTTGATATGCGATCGACGCCTTCACCACTATGAGAAACATTCTTATCTGCCCTGATATACGAAGGAACAAAATTTCATTTCTGAAATGACAGCCTTTAATGACAACATGTTGATAAGTTTGATATCAATAAACTGATGATATACATGGGATAAGACACACGTTATGGTATCTATACATTTCTTTCGGCTGAATATGAAGAGAGTTTAGTGTGGTCCATACACAATTTCTTTAGGTTAGTCGGTAACGACATACGCAAGGACCTGTCAATCACTTGTGTTTATTTCATAGTTATCCTGATGCATTATTACGAAAGCCTAATGGTGCCACTTTGGTAGCATAATTTCTAGTAGTTCTCGTTGTGTCGGTTATTTAAATAGATATACTGCTGGAAATGAATAAGGGAAGACGTTGTAGACACAGTGAAATGATATGCTATCATGGGTTCCTATCCTTCTCTACCAAATGCGCGTTGGAAACATCTCACTGAATTCTGACTTGTTGAATTTGTATGCGCGTTATTTCAAATGTACTGACATTAAAGCTAATTTCTCTATATTTTTCATTGTTCCCTTATTCGTAACCATCAGTATATATCGAAATTCCGACTTTTTTCTTGTAATTTCAATTATTTTCTCGTTATTTCAGCAAGTTGTTGTTTCTTGTTTCAATTATTTAATTTTAATTAGAAGTTACGACTTTTCTTTCTCCTTATTTCGATTGTTTTGTCATAACTTCTATTTTCTTGAATTTTTTTTTTTTTCGAAATTTCGATTTAAAAAATGAAATTATGCATCCAAAGTGGCACCAACAGTCTTTCGTACCATGTAGGCTTAAGTATATGTACTATGATGTTATGAGTACTTTTAACGTGTATATTTACATGCATTTGGTGATGAACAACGTAAATGTTAATTTTGATATAAATATGTAATCATATCATCTGGAATTTTCCACGTTATACTTACTGATTTTTGGAATACTTCTTAAAGACTTGCATTTCCATTTATTCAATCATTGCAAACAGAATTAAATACGACCGAACTATACAAGTATGCTTTACATACGTTTGTATGCTCTTTTCTTCACGTACTTCATCAAATTCAAATCACGTACTTCATATGCAAGTGGTCTAAATAACGCTACATAACAAATAAAGATAAAGAGACAAAATATGTCAAAAGTGCGCAACATGCTTGATAAGAACCATATAATCTAATAGTCAGTATTTTAATATGTAGGTCATCAAAATATATATTAATTTCATATCAAATCTTAGCTGAGAAGCGTATGATTATGACTAGAGATTCCTTTGATTTGTAAACATGAGCTACGATTATTGTTCTTAAATTGATAACAAATCATATTTCTTATAAACCGCTGACGATGATATTTGAGCACCCACAACACCTGATGTATGTAAAACACGAGAATACTTTGTCCAGTGAAAAACCGAGCTGTAGTTTGGAAACGTGACATTTGGTATCCGCATTTCACAACTTTTGAGGTACAATTGGGCATGTTCTTTCTATGACGATTTCAAAGCGTCATGAGACTCTTGCACCAAAGTTGTTTGATCAAGGTTACGACATTCAAGGTCTCAGCAAAGCTTTCAAAAAGTTTTATGGTGGACATGTGGAGGACAATTCCAAATTTGAAGCATCAGTGACCAAAATATGTCCCATGCAATTCCCTGTTTTGACTTGTTCCATATGTTCACGTGTTTTTTTCAGGTTAACAATTGACTTGCCTTGGGATGTTTTTGTGACGGTTGCAGGATACGCTCACCTTTTCGCGAACACTTGGTATATCATCACTGTTTCACAGCTATTCATACACCCATGCTCATGTCATATTCGGAATTGTACAACCCACTCTGCTTTAGCAGAATTTTTTTATGATTATGGAAACTTTTATTTTGTCGCTATTACTTGTTTTATTCTGTCAAGAGATTGATCATTCGCTTAAACCATTTTTATCCAATTGTGTGCTTAATATAGTGAGAATATCAATTAATCCGGATTTTATTTCCTGTCTACTTCTTATTTATTGATTATCTTTTTACAATGGGAGTCGAGTTACACGACGTACACGTTATGGTACGGGGTGCGTATTCGCAAGTCTAGATTAGACTAGATGTCTTATATATACTGAAGTGGGGCTTGTGACTATCCCTACCAAGTTAAACAGGCTGCAACTAATTTCCATTGCAAGAAAAGGATACAGTCGTTTTGCAAATGCCTCAGACACCACGCGCTGAATAGACTAATAATTATGACTGATAACATCAACCCCGCCGTTATAAGCTTCACATTCTCAAGCGGGTGACCAGGAACCAATGTAGGATTATACTGACACGCAGCATTGATGTTTACGGAGGCCACCCTTAATGTCACTTACCCGTGTTACCTGGCACCTGTGTCACAGCTGCAGTGATGATGGCGCCAGCATTACACCCGTGCAAGCATGTACCACTGACTGTGTATTCATTCTGTAAAACATTGTCGTGGATTTTACGTGAACACCACAGCGCTATCAACCAATCACAGAGTTGCTTTTGAAATACTGACCAATCGGATAATGTAGGGGAAGAATGCTTATATCGATTACCCAATAGCATTTTCCTTCCGCCAATGTGAATGACACAACCAATATGTTGGAATTCCCAGCGAAT